GAAGAGAAAGTACACAAACGTTAACAAACTATACGGAGTCAGAAACACACGGCGTTCCCTCGGAGTTTTCTCAGGACTCTGCAAGCTCCTTGAGAAGCACAGTTCGGGCGGGGGGAAAGAATGAACGGGAAAGAGGAACCCCAGCCTCTGAAAGTGCCCTCCTCACAAGCGAAGCCTGAACCAAGTCGCTTAGCTTCCCTGGATTTCTCAGGCTCTAGAAGTCTTGTTTTCTTCCCCAAAATTCCTTGGCACCTTCTCTTGGCCAGGTTTCCCTGATGTGTAAGGGCCACACCTATTACCTACCCTAAAGTAAACGTATGTGGTGAGAGCCACGCCTTTAACAAACATATCATGAGGATGTGTATGTAGGGCAGTGTGCTACATCAAATCGTCACACTCTTGCCCTAAGCCTCAGCTTCCCAGAGTGGATTGCAGAGAATTTCTTTCAAGACCTGCCATCAAGGTATTTACAGCAGTTTCCTGTACAATGGTGAAAAAATGTGATATGACATACATATTCAAGAAACCAGAATAAGTCGTTTCTTTTTTATTTTTTTTATTAAAAAAAAAATTTTTTTTTAACGTTTATTTTTGAGACCGAGAGAGACAGAGCACGAACGGGGGAGGGTCAGAGAGAGGGAGACACAGAATTGGAAACAGGCTCCAGGCTCTGCGCTGTCAGCACAGAGCCCGACGCGGGGCTCGAACTCACGGACCGCGAGATCGTGACCTGAGCCGAAGTCGGCCGCTTAACCGACTGAGCCACCCAGGCGCCCCCAGAATAAGTCGTTTCTTAAATGTAATTAAAAAATTGTAAATATTGGGGTGCCTAGCTGGCTTAGTTGGTGGGGTATGCAACTCTTGGTCTCGGTGTTGTGAGTTTGAGCCCCAGGTTGGGCATAGAGATTACAAAAATAGATAGATAGATAGATAGATAGATAGGCAGACAGAGAGAAAATACTAAGACGATATAGAAATATGGAAAGGAATAAAAGGAAAAGAAGACATGACACAAAATTATATAAAGTCAAACATGACAGCACAGAAATTTAAATGGCTGAGTTTGCGGGCTTCAGGGGGGCTCATTCGGTTGGGCATCTGACTCTTGATTTCAGCTCAGGTCACGATCTCAGGGCTCACGGGTTTGAGCCCTGCATCCCAGCTGTCAGCATGGAACCTGCTTGAAATTCTCTCTCCCCTTCTCTCTCTATCCCTCCCCCCACGCTCTCTCTGTGTCTCTTTCAAAATAAATAAGTAAACTTAAAAACAACAATGTTTAAACGGCCAAGTTTGAAATAGAGTTATAACTATACTTTGGGGGTATGACCAGAAAAGCATTAAATGATAGTACTAATATTAAATCACTGACTACTGCCAACTGTTAGGTTCAAAACTGTGGACGGACTGTAATGTCTGCAGGTATCAGTGCCCGTAAATGTGTCCAAGCCGTAAATTCTTCCTCAATGGCATCAAATAATTATTTGAGACAATGTCCAGTTAACTTACTGCCTCATGAAAAACTTTGGACAACTTCTCTTCACAGTTTTCGCAGTTTTCAGTCTTACTTTGGCTTTAACAGGACTAAGGCTTTTCCAAGAGTTCATTTGCTCCTGCCGCTTATTCTCCACTGTAAAAGTCATGATTCCGTGTTTGCAGCAAAATAACAATTTCCATAGCAACCAACCGGGATGTCTCAGAAAGAGGATTATGACTTCAGGAAAGGAATAAACAACAGGAGCAGATGAATAATGAAAATAATAAGGATTCGCGTTCTCAAAAAGAATAGGAGAAATACGAGGATGAGAAAGTGTGCCGTGAGCCTTTCAGAATTGTTTCTGTCTTCAAGCCACCAACCACCACAGCTCGGTTTTCCAGGAGACCTCAGTTACTCAAAGAGGTGGTTACTCCTGTACAATAGACCACCACCTGCATGAAAGAGCTGGGGGTGAAGGGAAGCCTGATAAAGTCTCCGTAACACTTTAATCTATTGTGTGTTGAAAAGAACATGGGGGGCGCCTGGGTGGCTCAGTCGGCTAGTGTTTGGCTCTTGGTTTGGGCTCAGGTCATGATCTCAACGTTGGTGGGATTGAGCCCCACATCAGGCTCTGCACCAACAGCGAGGAGCCTGCTTGAGATTCTCTCTCCCTCTCTCTCTCTCTCTCTCTCTCTCTCTGCCCCTCCCCCTTCACATGAGCAGGCACGTGCAGGCGGGCACCCACTCTCTCTCGAAATAAATAAATAAGCATTAAGAAAAAAGAAATGAGGGGCGCCTGGTGGCTCAGTTGGTTCAGTGTCTGACTTTGGCTCGGGTCCCTGTCTCATGGTTCGTGAGTTCGAGGCCCGCGTTGGGCTCTGTGCTGACAGCTCAGAGCCTGGAACCTGCTTTAGATTCTGTGTCTCTCTCTCTCTCTGCCCCTCCCCTGCTTATGCTCTCCTCTCTCTCTCTCTCTCTCAAAAATAAACATTACAAAAAAAAAAAGAAAGAAAAAATATAGGTATATGTACTCTACAGGACCAGAGCTGAGCTACTTTATTTTTTTATTTTATTTTGCTAGAAATTCATGGGGAGTGGGATAGAAGAGAGTAAGCCATTTGAAGACTTTGTTTCAATGAAGCAGGGATTAATTTGGTCAGCACTTTTCCTATGAAAAAGCACTCTAGGGGCTCCTGGCCGGCTCAGTCGGTGGAGAATGAGACTCTTAATCTTGGGGTTGTGAGTTCGAGCCCCCATGTTGGGTGTAGAGATTGGTTAAAAATAAAATCTTAAAAAAAAAAAAAAAGGCGCATTCTAGATATACCCAAAATCCAAAACAGCATCAAGGGGGTGTACTTGTATTGCCTGTATTTTAGAACTAGTGTTATATAGTAAAGTGATTAGTAACCTGACATATGGTCAACCCTAAATGTACAGCACCTCAGCATACAGCAGTTTCATGCTGTATAATTTACCCTGACAGTTTTACACTAGGTATATCTGTATTGCCCATTACTTCAGATCACCAGCCAACATGCAGCCAGTCAATTCTGAGGAAGGATAAGCCGACCAGAAGACCAGGGGATATTTTTGAAATATTTTTCATTGTGGTATAATTTACATACAGTAAAATGCACACACCTGAAAACATAGAAAATGGAATCGTGCAGTAATATAGTCTTTGGTGTCTAGCTTCTTTTGCTCGTAAATTTTTTAGGGTTTGTGCTATTTATTTAAGTAATGTCTACACCCAACATGGGGCTCAAACTCATGACCCCAAGATCAAGAGTCGCATGGTCTTCCCGCTGAGTCAGCCGGGCACCCCTAAAGGGGTAAGTTTTTGAAATTCATCCATGTAGTTGCATATATCAGTCATTCCTTCCTCTTCATCACTGAATGGTATTCCATTGTATGAGTAGGTCATTCAAAGCGATGCATGCCGATTGGCCACTCATCACCGAATAGTATTCTATTGTATGACTAGGTCATTTTAATTTATGCATGCCGATGGACCACTTGTGATCAGTCTGAAAATATAAATTGTAAAACACAAGCCAGCCTGTTTATATGAACTATACTTCTTCTCCCAGCGAATTATCAATATTTTGCATTTCTAAGCATTAAAAGGATGTTTAAACTCCATCATCTGGACTGATAGAAAAAGGCAAAATGAGAGAATTTTTTTTAAGGAATGAATTTCATAACTTCCATATTTATACTCAAACTACTAGCTACCCTCAGTGCAAGACAGAGATTTTCTTTCAGGCCTACTTTAATGAATCCACGGGGATTTTAATTAGCACATCAATGACTGCGGGGCTACCACGGGGTGAATTTCGGGGAGGGGAGGGCAGGGCTGGCAAACTTTGGCAGTCCACCTCCCTTGCCCTATTCTTCCTTCTCCGGGCTCTTTACCTCATGCCCACCCCCGGATGACTAGCCCAACTCCAGTCTCGAGTGGCCTTGATCACAGCTGGCTATACCAGATGGAAATGCTTCTAATAAGTTAATTCTAGGGGTTAGATAATGAGGGCTTAAGGGGGTTTTCCCTGCCAGAGGGAATTTCCATTTTTAAAAGGGAACTCTTGGGAAGCAGTGCCCAGCATGTGGAAGGTAATCAATAAATGTTATCTCTATTCCCTTGAAGAACCAAAGTTATGAGACATTAAAATTAGACAGGGGGTAAGAAAGATCTTTCCAGAACCACATGTCATAGCACCTTTGTACTCTACTGACAATGTTGTCTTGGAACTGCTAGCAGCCATCTTGCTGTTGCGTGAGGACAAGTAGAAGAGTGGACAAAGACACAGAGAGGGAGAAATCATCTGACACCTGGGGTCAAACACTTCTTGGACTTCTTTTACTAATGCCCCAGTGATAGCTATGTGAGGTCCCTCGCAAATGGGGAAGAGCAGCATTATGAAATACCTATGCTGCTTCTCTCCCTAGTATTCCATTCCGGTCCTTCCTCCCATTCCGACAGCAGAGAGGCTGTGTGCACGGTGTGTGTACGTGTGTGTATCTGTGTGCGTCTGTGCGTGTGGGCGTGTGTACCCTCAGATACGGCTGCCAACGAAAGAAATGCAGATAGAAAAGATACACTGACTTTCAAAAGAAACTTTTGAAGCCAGACTTGGTAGCGTGAGATAAAGAATTTCTGAGTTTCAAAAGGCTGGAGTAGCAGAATCAAAGCAGGTTCCTTAAAGTTTTTACTGATGTCAACAGATTTGAAAAAGATCGCTTCCCAAAGGAGATACCTTTCAAACTGATGGAGGAGGCGGAAGAAAGCTATTTAGACACCGATGGGTGTTCCAAAGAAGGAACCAGACGGGTGAACTCCCTGAAAAGGCTGCGAAATCTGCGAGCTGCCAATGGCTGCGTCACACTCCGTAGCTGGGACTCACAGCAGAGGCAAGTACGCTTGCCTCTAAGATGGAGTATACTAAGTACTCTAAGTACACTACCTAAGTACACTACCAGGTAAGCTACCCAAAACGTACTGTACCAGAAAGGCTCAGAGACCAAATTAACATGTGCAAATCACATCATTTATTAAATCAATTTAAAATACCCAGCAAGAAACCAAGGGAAAGGGATGGGGTGGTCTAACATATTTAGGAAAGGTGGTGAGCCAGGTGGAGGGAACGATCTTACCATCTGAAGCACGGATTATGCAATGTTCATGGGCACCCCTCTCCCTACCCCAACCACCTTCTCTGCTGATGGTGTGGCTACAGGGACCAAAGACGAGGTTTGAGCAGAGAGGCCCGAGAGACTGAGATGCCTGGGACCAACACAGACACTTGTTTTATAGGATAGACAGAGGGGTATGTAGTCCTGGCCAGAGCGGTGACTCATCGATTAGCCCGATGAGCAGCAGTGGATTTTATCTGGCAGAGGATATTTGGGGCCAGCAGGGGTGCCACGGCTCTGTTTCTTCTCCACAGTGACACCAAACCTCTCATCACTGGCCTACAGGATCCTTCACGATCTAACACAAATTGTACCTTTTTTTTTTTTTTAACAGCTTTAGTGAGATGTAATACACATACCATACAATTCACCCACGTAAGTACAGTTCAGTCACTTTTACTACAGTCACAGAGTTGTGTATACGTTACCACAATCAATTACAGAATTGTGAAGGAGACACTGCATCCCTTAGCCATCACCCCCAATTTTTGTAAACACCACCCGGGACCTAAGCCACCATGAGTCTATTTTCTGCCTCTACAGATTTACCTACTACTCTAGACGTTTCGTGTTAAGTGGAATCATGCAGCAGGTGGTCCTTTGTAACTGGCTTCTTTCACTTAGCGTGATGTTTTCAAGGTACATCTAAGTTCTTGCACGTGTCAGCACTTTATTTCTTTTTATCGCTGAATAATATTCTGTTGTAAGGATGCACCACACGTCGTTTATCCATTCATCAGTTGATGGACGTTTGGGTTGTTTTTGTGTTGGGGCGATTACACAGAATGCTGCTGTGACCGTGTACACATTTTTGTGTGAATATGTGTTTTCATTTCTCTTGGGCAATTCCTAGGAGGGGAATTGCTGGGTCACAGAGAAATTCTATGTTTAACTCTTTGAGGACCTGCCAGACTGTGTTCCAAGGCAGCTGTAGAATTTTACATTCCTTAATAGCAGTGTATATGCCATTTCCAGTTTCTCCATCTTCTCACCAACCCTTGTCTTTTTCAGGATAGCATTTCTAATGTCAGGTGGTTTCTTATTGTAGTTGTGGTTTGCATTTCCCTAATGGATTAACGATGGTGAGCAGTTTTTATTTGCGTTTTGATCGTTCATATAACTTCTTTGGAGAAATGTCTACTCAGATCCTTGGCCCACCTTTTAATTGGGTTGTTTGTCTTTTCAATAGTGAGCTGCAAGAGTTCGATATGTATAGTTTTATTACTCTTCCTTTAGCAGGTTATTATCTGCAAGAAAAAAAAAATTCCTTTTCCTTAGGAATCACTTTCAGAATGGTGTCCTTTAATGCACAAAATTGGGGGTTTTAATGAAGTCCAGGTTAAACTGTGTCTTATTGGTCTTTGTATCCCTAGCACTTAACACAGTGCCTGGCATACAGTAGGTATCAATTTGTATTTGCTGAATGAATGAAAAACTGTAATCAATTCAGTTAATAGGCTATAGCTAAGAGTCTATCACATAATAAAACGAAGGTGGGATATATTAGAACAAAGAGTGCTGGTTATCTTCTGATATTCATACTCCTCTTCTTGGTAACAGAAGCTTAATTCACATTGGGGCACACTGTCATCCAGCGAAAAGACCACACTTCCCACTCTCCCTTGCAGCAGTTGGTCATGTGACTAAGTTCTGACCAATGAGATGAAAGTGAAAATATTATGCAGAACAGCTAATCAATCTTCCCAGCGGGAAGGGACCACATCCTTTTTAGCCTTTCTTTCATCCCGATGCCTGGAACTAGGATGTGATATCTGGAGCCTCTAACAGCCACTTTGCACAATGAGGAAGAAGCAGCAGAAAGCTGAAAGGTCCCCTCACCTCAGACCAAGCAGCTTATACCATCCTTTGACACGAAAAGCGAATATACTTCTAATTTTTCAGCCACTGTTTTTAGAATTTCAAATACTCTGAAACGAATCTAATCCTCACGGATTTATGAGAGCCCGCACGCTTTCCACCACGCCACAAGATTCAAGGCACAAAAATGCCTTTGTCGGTACGGCTGAATTTAGCACACTCTTCTTGTCACCTGTTAATGTTCCTTTGGGCATCCCCCGGACTGTGGTCAACGCCAAAGTTTCTCAGTCTTTTGGAGAGCACTGACTTATTGAAAAAGAGTGGGGTGTGGAATCAGAGAGTCTGAGAGTCAGTCCTGGTCTGTCTCCCAGTAAACCTTGCCGAGCCTCAATTTCTTTGCTCATCTGGGATCTCTTTCAAGAGCTCAGGTCAGAAAGGAGCTAATTTGAGACATCATTGGTTGTTTCGTGGAATCCACAAGAGACATGAGACAACTATGATTTATTAGAACGTGAGCAGGATTATAAATTCCGTGAGGGCAGCTGATGTCTTTATTGTCTAGAAACTGTAAGCATTAAAGCATTCAGAGGCTGAATGAATGAGTAAAGCATGTAAGTTCCATGGCCCCGCACCTCAGAATCAATACGCCCCTGAATGTAACCAAGCCTAAGTATAGACCATTATAGTGAAGTGACCAGTCAGATCTATCTTAGGATCTCCTTAAGCCAGTGACAGGACCACCTCCAAAACCCCTCCCCTCTAGTTATTTGGGGTCCTTGAGCTTTACAATCTAAAAAAAAGGGCCATTATAGTCAAGCATCAAGAATAAATAGCAGGCAATGGATGCAAGTGACAGTCACAATACAGGAAAATAGAAGCAACCTGCATAAAATCTATCTAAATCCCGGGTGCTCAGGGAAGATCAAAATTTCCTCTCCACCCCCCCCCCCCCCCCCGCCCCCGCCCCGACCCGCCTCTTTTGTTTTGCTTCTTCTCTTCTTGGGGAGAGCACAATGGGGTCGGGGTTGTAAATTCTGAGCCCAGGTCCTGCTTTACCTGCTTGGTTAAGGAAAAGAACTCCTCTCACCCCCAGAGCTCTCAGGAGCTAATTACTGAAAATTGCTGTGAGACACTTGGCAAAATATAACATCCCTAGAGTGATTCTAGCAGCTGCCTCAGGAGAGAAGCAGCGTTCTCTCTCCTGACGATTTTTACATTTTTAAAGGATTAGCTGAAGCTCCATGCAAGTCCTCGTGGAAATTCCCTCTGAAGTCAGTGAACAAGCAAGAAACTAGCTTCTCTGACTTCGGATACTCATTTCAAGAAATAGGTACAGGCCTCGAGCCCCGCATATCAAAGAACAGCGTCGCTGTTCTTTAAAAATTTCAGGAAACACGGGGCGCCTGGGTGGCGCAGTCGGTTAAGCGTCCGACTTCAGCCAGGTCACGATCTCGCGGTCCGTGAGTTCGAGCCCCGCGTCGGGCTCTGGGCTGATGGCTCAGAGCCTGGTGCCTGTTTCCGATTCTGTGTCTCCCTCTCTCTCTGCCCCTCGCCCGTTCATGCTCTGTCTCTCTCTGTCCCAAAAATAAATAAACGTTGAAAAAAAATTAAAAAAAAAAAATTTCAGGAAACAGATTTTGCAGAGGAGGCAAATCCAACATGTGTGAAAAGATTTGAAGCCAAAAGCATGAGAAGATAGGGAAAGAAGGAAAGACTATGGCACTCCTTCCCCTGGCAAGGCATTGTCTTTCTTTCTTCCTTCCTTCCTTTCTCTCTCTCTTTTTTAAATTTTTCTTAATGTTTATGTATTTACTTATTAAAAAAAATTTTTTTTATGTTTATTTATTCTTGAGAGAGACAGAGGGTGAGTGGGTTGGGGCAGAGAGAGAGGGAGACACAGAATCTGAAGCAGGCTCCAGGCTCTGAGCTGTCAGTACAGAGCCCCATGCGGGGCTTGAACTCATGAGCTGTGAGATGGTGACCTGAGCCAAAGTCGGACGCTGAACCAGGTGCCCCAATGTTTATTTATTTTTGAGAGAGAGAGAGAGAGAGAGAGAGAGAGAGCTCAAAGGAGGGGCAGAGAGAGAGGGAGATAGGATCTGAAGCAGGCTCCAGGCCCTGACCTGTCAGCCCGGAGGCGGGACTCGAACCCAGGAACCGCGACTCAAGACCTGAGTCGAAATTGGACGCTTAGGCTTAACCGACTGAGCCACCCAGGCGCCCTAGGGCATTTTCTAACCTAGCCAGGGTGCTTGCTCATCCTGGCGGCCTCAGGAGAAACTCTCATCCTCAGCATGAGAATTCCCCAATCCCACCCATCAATTACTTTGCGTTTCTGGTCTTCTGCCGATCTCCATTACGGTAGCAACAAACAAAGTAACGAAGTGCTGACACACGCCCCAACACGGATGAACCTTGCAAACATCATGCCATGTGAATGAAACCAGTACAAGCCACATATTGTGTGATTCCGTTTATATACATAGACTATCTATAGAAATAGGAAGTCGCTTTGTGATTACTCAAGGCTGAGGTGAGGGGGAGGAGACGAGGGACCACGGCCAAAGGACATGAAATAATGAAGTAATGAAGGACATGAAGCAAATAAAAATAATCTAAGACTGACTACGGTGATGGTTGCCCAACTCGGAATATCCACGAGGCACCAAATTGTACACTTTAGATGAACGAGTTGTGTGTGTGAATTATGTATCTCAATAAAGCTGTTAACAAAAAAAAAAAAAAAAAGCAAACAAAAAAAACCCCCACCAGCACAACAAATCCTTTATGGCTAATTGCTTTATGCTTTAGGCAAAAACGTATGTAATTCTTATTGCAACTCCATTCCAGAAAGGACACTCTGGGCACTAGCTGGGCAAATGAATATATTTAACCCATGCATGTTAATAGAGAATTGCCCGGCGGGTACCCCCGGAGGACACGAGGTTTTTAGCTGTTGGTAAGAGTGTGCAATAATAATTACTTTTTAAAAGGTTTCACAGTCAAAGAAATTTGGGGATGACGGAGTTAAACAAAATTAAACGGGATCTTCACTGTTGAAGTGCTCAGAGTTTTAATAGGCAGACGGGCATTGTGAATCTCTAAGAAAGAAACAAGAGCGTGCATGGCTTACCAAGCTGGTTTAATCTCGAGACCTTTCGTCACAGAGCATCGCACAGAGTCAATCTTCTATGACATTATGCTGGTACGTGCTGGAATAAGTCTCTAATCTCGGCAGGAAACTCTGGAAACAAATGTTATCATGCAGAAATTAATATAGGCCTTCACACAGCTGAAATATTTTCAATCACATGTCTGCATCAGTTTCTTAGAATTCGATCGCAAACATTGTTTCTGCTTTCTAAATCGTTTTCATTCCACCTTCAATATTTATGAACACAGCCAGCGTGGTTTAGAGTGAAAATTCACTTCTTTGCTCCATAAGCAACCCTCTGGTATAGTTCCACTCGCTTCTGTGAAACGGAATTTGTCTTCTTTTCCTCCTGAAATAGAAAGGCACTCTGAGAACATACAAAATTCCTCAGTAATCCTTCTGTTCCTGAACCATAGATCAAATCATTCTCTCAGAATCCCACTTCCAGCATTTCTCAGCGAAGATGTATTGGCAGGCTAACTGGGAGAGGTTTCAAATTACTCAGACTTTATTAATTTTACAAAACATGCTTTGAAGTACTGTGAGAATAATTAAAAGTAAACGGCACATTTGAAATTAGTGAGCAAATGTTGGGGGAGGGGGGCGGGGATGGCTCTTTCCTTTCTACCCTGTTGTTCTCCACTTACAGAGCCCGGTAATCCACGTTGCATCCTTCCCCAGTCACTGCTTGGGTTCCACTGCCCAGACTTAGTTAGAAATCACAACTCAAGAGGGAAGGGAAGGACACTAACAATTGCTGAGCATAATGTCTGGATAGACAGAAATGAGAAGAAAGAGCCTTCTAGGCTAAGGGATGTACAAGATGGGGAAACTAGGTGAGTGTGGCATCTATCGGTAGCTCTCTTTGGCAGCTAAAAACAAGCAGCATTTGCATGTACAAAGCTTTTCCAGTGTACAAAGCACGGTCTTGTGCAGTATCTTACTTAACTTTCAAACCAGCCATAAGAGAGCCTCTCTCCCCGGTTTTACAGGTGAGGAAACTGAGGCCCAGAGACGTTACGAAGCCAACCCGAGATTCTCAGAATATTCTGATACAGCCATTTAACGCCGAGGTTTCTGGATTCAAAATGTCTGACTACTTTTTCCACCCATAGTCAACTGGGAGAAGTTAGAAAGGCTTGCTGGGAAGAGACTGTGAAGGTCCCTGGACAATAGATACGTTTATGCTTTACCCTGCAGGCAGTATGATTATTACTTACTATCTTAGTCAGATCCTTCCAGATTCACACTCTGCTTAGGCAAATAGATGAGCCATCTCTGCTTCTCCTAAAAAAAAGTTCTTGAGTGTGTCTAACCCTCAAAATAAGACCAAATAATCACATTAAACATCAAATATCTTACTTGCTGTTTTTTTTAGCCGGTTTTACAGATGTTCACTGTGCAGTTACACCAGGATCTTTTCACAAGAGGTCAATGTCAGTCATTCACAAAGGATACAAATAAACCAATTTCCTAACTCGATGTCTGTACCTATAGCCTTTACACTGGAACAGAAAACAGTATGACGGAAAGTTCTAAGTCCACTTTTATGTACTCATTTATTAATGTCTCCAACACACATTAATTCAGCACCTACTATGTGTGAGGCATCATGCCAGGAGCTGAACTCAATGAGTGAAATGGCAGGTCCTTATCTTTATATAGAGTTTACAGCTAGATACTAAGCATCCAGGCAAACACAGTGCAAAAGGATAAAGGATACAATACAAGGATACGAAGAGAATACAGAGGGATATAGGAGCACATAACCTAGGCCTAGGGTTGGGGAGGTTTCCTGGGGAGGTGGTGTGCGGGATGAAGGAGCTGTGGACTACCATGTGGATTCTAATCCTGGCTTTGGGTTGGACTCACCTAGAGAGTTTTTGAAACTAGTGCTGTCCAGACCCCACCCCAGCACGGTTTGATCTGAAGCTCTACAAGTCAGGGTCAGCAAATTATGTTTATAAACCTCCCAAGGTGACTCTGACGCACAACCAGGTTTGAGAATTGCTGACTTAATTGCTAAGAAGTTTTTCAGAGTGGAAACTTCACCAACTACATGAACCCTCTCTAAATTCAGATTTCAGGGGCGCCTGGGTGGCGCAGTCGGTTAAGCTTCCGACTTCAGCCAGGTCACGATCTCGCGGTCCGTGAGTTCCAGCCCCGCGTCAGGCTCTGGGCTGATGGCTCGGAGCCTGGAGCCTGTTTCCGATTCTGTGTCTCCCTCTCTCTCTGCCCCTCCCCCGTTCATGCTGTGTCTCTCTCTGTCGCAAAAATAAATAAAAAACGTTGAAAAAAAATTAAAAAAAAAAATTCAGATTTCAGTCCTGTGTAAATTTGGAAGTAAATCATCTAAAAATGATTTTTTAGTCACTATAATGTGGCTTTTAGCTTAATTATCTTGGAGTTCAAAAATATGTATGGCTTTAGGGAGATAATAAATCTCCTTTACAAAAAAAGAAAAAAGATGAATCTGAATAGTCTGAATATTGCTGGCTTTTCTTAACAGTTGGGAGAAAACTATCCCTGTGTGTACCAGTATTTTCTTTTTTCTTTTCTTCCTTCCTTCCTTCCTTCCTTCCTTCCTTCCTTCCTTCTCTCCTTCCTTCTTTCCCTCCTTCCCCTCCTTAATGTTAATTTAAAAAGCTATTAGATGGGTCCAAGGAAGGACAGCCGGAAAGTAGTTGACTAGATGCTGGTACAGCAGGTTAGAGGATTATTTTCATAAAGATGAATTGAGCAAAGAGGTAGATCTATTGATGATTATGGAGCCAGATTTCTTGCTACCAGAAAAGGGAATTATAAATATAAGATGGAAGAAGAGGGTTGCCCAACTGGCTCAGCTGGTGGGATGTGTGACTCCAGATCTAGGGGTTGTGAATTCAAGCCCCATGTTAGGCATAGAGATTACTTAAAAATAAAATCTTAAAAAAAAAAAAAAAAAAAAGATGGGGCACCTGGGTGGCTCAGTCAGTTGGGCAGCCGACTTTGGCTCAGGTCATGATCTCGAGGTCCATGAGTTCGAGCCCCACGCCGGGCTCTGTGCTGACAGCTCAGAGCCTGGAGCCTGTTTCAGATTCTATGTCTCCCTCTCTCTGACCCTCCCGTGTTCATGCTCTGTCTCTCCCTGTCTCAAAAATAAATAAAACGTTAAAAAAAAAAAAAGAAGAAGAAGGATAATGAACACTATGGTATTGAGTTTGAACTCAAGTGGAGGTACTATTGTGAACTCGTTTATATACATAGAAATGGAGACACCTATATATACCTGTAGATATACCTGTAGATATATACCCGCCTCTCTCTACAAGATACATAGCTGAAAGAAAAATGAATATAGATACACCTATGTTCTATCATAGTTCTGTACTGAGAGATCCCGGAGGCATCAGTAGCCCCTATCAGTAAGCATACCTAACAGATCTTGATTTCTAAAGACCGTTTTTCATAAACAGTTAGAAGAGGTCTTAGAAAAAATGACTGATTTCAGGGCTGGGGCAGCAAACTTACAAGATGAACATGAAGAATAATTTAATGTCAGGAAGTAACGAAGTACTCAAAAAACAAGAGGAGTACGTCAAAAAAGACTTGGAAGTCAGTTTGAAGGGCCAACCACTAGGTGAATCTGGAACAATTTGAACATCAAAGTCAATAGTTATACTGGGGCGCCTGGGTGGCTCAGTCAGTTAGCATCTGACTCTTGGTTTCTGCTCAGGTCATGAACTCATGGTTCATGGGTTCGAGCCCCACATCGGATTCTGCACCGGCAGTGTGGAACCTGCTTGGGATTCTCTCTCTCTCCCTCTCTCTCTGCCCCTCCCCCACATGCACTGTCTCTGCCACTCTCAACATAAATAAGTAAACTTTAAAAAATAAAAATAAAAATAAATAAATAGTTACAAGACCCGATTATAATCCATCGAATAAATATCCTGGAGTCTATACAGATTTAAACAAACATATGAATAAATAAACAGGGAGAAGAAAAGGCTCTTTCATAGCAGAATGCCAACTATTAAATGTAGAAGAAATAAAAAAAAAATAGAAAATCACCTTTAGGCAACACTCTTATTTTTTTTAATTTAAAAAAAATATTTATTTATTTTTGAGAGACAGAGAGAGAGACAGAGCATGAGCAGGAAGCAACACTCTTAGTAATAATTAATTCAGACGAGAAATGTCAATGAATGCCAAAACTTGTGGGTGAAAGTTAGATGCAAATGGAATATTTACATAATTGCAAAATATCTCTCCACCAAAGACATTTAGAAAGGGGCAAAGAATGGCTTTCCGGTGAAGTAAACTGGCAGACACTTTATTCAAGTATAACATCAACTATAACATCACAAGATTGAAATTATGTGTCACCCGATAGGATGCAAGGAGAAGTTAACATTGCTTTCATGATATTTCTGCCAAAAATGCATGCATAACCAGAATCTAATTATAAGGAAACATCAGACAACCCTAAATGAGGAATAGTCAACAAAATATTTTGCCTGTTGTCTTAAAAAATGTTAGAGTCACGGGCACGCCTGGATGGCTCAGTCGGTTAAGCTTCTGACCTTGGCTCAGGTCACGATCTTATGGTGAGTTTGAGCCCCGCCTGGGGCTCTGTGCTGACCGCTCAGAGCCTGGAGCCTGCTTGGGATTCTGTGTCTCCCTCTCTACCCCTCCCCTGCTTGCACTCTGTCTCTCTCTCTCTCTCTCTCTCAAGAAAAATAAACATTTAAAAAATGTTATAATCATGAAAATCAAGGAAGAATCATGGAATAGTTCTGGACTGACAGAGACTGAAGAGGTATGACAACTAAAGGCAGGACATGGCACCATATTGATACCGTATTGCCATTTTGCTGTGACAGATGTTACTAGAAAAACTGCTGATTCCTGATTATGCTCTCTGATGAATGGATATAAAGGAGTTCTTTAAACTGTTCCTGAAGCTTTTCTGGAATTTTGAAATCATTTCAAAAATAAAAAGTATTAATATTGTTGCAATGTAAAATATTTCTTACAGACTTTTCCTTCAGGTTTACACGAACGAAGGCGAAACAATGGTGGAAGTTTGAGAGGAATCTCAAATTATTTGGTGCAATTATGGTGTGTTTTCTCTTTCTCTCTCTCTCTTTTTAAATGTTTATTTATTTTGAGAGAGAAAGAAAGAGCACAATCAAGGGAGGGGCAGAGTGAGAGAGAGAGAGAGAGAGAGAGAGAGAGAGAGAGAGAGAACTCCAATCAGGCTCCACGCCATCAGCATGGTGCCCAACATGGGGCACAGTCCCACAAAACGTGAGATCATAACCTGAGCTGATATCAGGAATTGGACGCTTAACCCACTGAGCCACCCAGGCACCCCTCTCTCTCCTTTTTAAAAATAATCTTTATACCCAGCATGGGGCTTGAACTCACAACCCTGAGATTTAGAGAGCCAGC